TCATCCTAAAGATCAACAAACCTATACATGAGCCATACCTGTTGCCTCCACTACTATGGCCACCTCCTTCAATTCTTTAGAGTTCTTCGCAGCTTAGGAAATTGATGGAGGAGCATTATCAGATGTTGATCCTTCTCCAATCGAAGATATTGAGAGCAACATACTTAGTAATTTATATATATATATATATATATATATATATTGCAAGTTCTGTTATGTCTTAATTCATGTAGACATGATTAAATTTTTGTTACACGAAATGATTATTTTGGTCTTTAGTTGATTAGCTCTCTTATATAGAAAGGGCCTAATGTTTTCGTAATAAGTAGAAGGGTGAACTACTGAAAGAATCAAAGGTCATTTTCTAACTTTCTCCTGGGATAAATAACCCAACACAATGATCCATCCCAAACCCAACTTGAGAAATCCTAATTCGGGTTGACTCGAATAATCCAAAATTGACCTAATTACTATTTAGATTAGCATTAATTAGGCCATGTAAAAATAGACATATATTATTAGGTTAAATGACTTATATTCGAGTTAATTGGGAGGTGTTGATCCAAAAAAATTATGATTCATATAATAAACGGGATAGATGAGTAGGGTTTGCATTAACAAGTTTGAGTCGGATCGGATTCGAATAGAACATTTTGACCCATATAATAAATGGGTTGTGTTCATGTATATAGTATATTCAAGCCGGGTCAACTTTAGGTCCTACTAGGGGTGCAAACGAGTCGAGTCGAGCTCGAGTTAGGAGGTGTTCGAGTCGAACTGTCAAATACAGAGCTCGAGCTTGAGCTAGAACTCGAGTCGAGCTCAAAAATCGAGCTCGAGCTTGACTCGTTCCACTGTAACCGAGCTCGAGCCGCTCGTTGAAGCGAGAGAGAGAGGGAGAGAGATTTGAGACTTTTTTTAGGTTTGTTAGAAAAGGTAATGAGTATTAGCCTTTTGCATTTATTATAAGTAAGGGAGGGTCAAATCTGAGAAGAGAGAGAGATTGAGGCATTTGAGATTTCAGGTGTTTTTCCAATATTTCGAGTGGGATTTTTAAATGATTTTTAAATTTTAACCGGCAAAAATTTAAGTTATCCCTATGGCCTCATGATTAATTTTTTTAAATATTTAAATTTAATAATATCAAGCCGGCTCACGAGCAGAGTCTTGTCAAGCTCGAACTCGAGCTGGTTTAATGAACGAGCTCAAACTCGAGCTCGACTCGTGAGCTCAATAAGCTCGGCTCGCGAGCTCATAAACGAGTCGAGCTCGAGTCGGCTCGTGAGCCGGCTCGACTCACTTGCACCCCTAGGTCCTACCCAAACAGCCAACCTGAATTGATATCATATTCGAGTTAATTGGGAGGTGTTGATCCAAAAAAAATTATGATTCATATAATAAACGGGATAGATGAGTAGGGTTTGCATTAACAAGTTTGAGTCGGATCGGATTCAAATAAAACATTTTGACCAGTATAATAAATGGGTTGCCGGGTCAACTTTAGGTCCTACCCAAACAGCCAACCTAAATTGATACCTCTTTTCTCCCCTAGGTTGGTCAACTTTCTACCTCTTATGGTTGGTTTCATGGGCCTCCTTACCCTCCTTTGTTGATGCCAAGAGTCTACCACTGTACAGAACAACCTGAAGTAATTCATGTCCCTCCCGCTCTCCTAAATGATTTATTGGGTTCACTCATTGCCTCCCCTTCCTCATTGATTTCATTCCATAAACCTCTATAAATTGACCACATGAGCAACGAGCAACCTTCCTTCATTTGAAGCATAAAACAAGGCAATGAACCCTACAATGAAGGCTAGGGCATGACCTACAACATTGATAATGTTAAATTTTCTTCTAGTATAAAATTTTGACGACTATAAGATGATCAAATCATTTTGCATGGACATAAATATCAAAAACTCATTCATGTTTAATGATATTTAGGATCTACAGCTTTGAAGGATTTTATTAAAAGAAAACTTTATTTAATTATGATATTTTAGTAAAAAAATCATGGATACTTAGATATGCATCATTCCAAAAATATAATAATTTGTAACCATAGTATAGCAACATTGAATAAATTATAAAGTTAATATAATTTATACTGAAAATGAAAAAAGTAAGAAAAAATGGAGAGAGTTGAAAGAAGATGATGATGATGATGAAAATGGAAGAGGATAATATCCTTTATCCAAGATAGGCTTGAAATAGAGCTGAGAAAACCATCAATAATAAATGACTTGATCATGCTACAAGTTGTTCAAGTTTGGTGAGAGTTTGAGCCGAGCTTACACATATATGTTCATAATTAGCATGTTTAAAATTATCAATGATTTATCATGGCTTGTAATGGGCTTGTCTAAATTAATCGTTTGCATACTTCAAAGAGTTAATGAGTAAGCTTATAAACAAGTATTAAATAAATTCCAAAGTGATTAGCATATTAACAAATAATTTTATTGGTCTATATGAACAATTGAACAAACAATTCAATAAATTTGAAATTAGCATATAACTATTTGAAACAAATTAAACAAGATAATAGAATGATTGAAAATAAGTATTAAATCCCAGAGGAGGATAACTGAAAAAAAAAAAAAAAAAGACACAAGGGCTATGAACTGCAATGGGTTGATGGCATTTGAAAAGATGCATTAAAGGTTAAAACAACATATTGACAACAAGCAAGCTGAAAAGGAGAAAATGCACTCACATCCAATTATCATACAGATGCTCTCCTATTCTTACATAGTCGTGGTTGAAGAAGATGTGTCAAGACCCAAGGACTAAAGATGGAGCATTCGCAAATCGTGCTCACCAACATGCATGCTAAAGATTACTAAGATGGAGAAGATTGTTTCACCTTCAAAGGCTCTCATTCCTAGTGTATTCTGAACGACTTGCTCACATAATTGCAATTTTCAAGTCCTTAGATGATTGAATAATGAAGATTGAAAGCAAGGATATGTGAAAAATGAAAAGAAAAGATGTAAAGGTAACGCAATTTATCAAATAACAAAATATAATATATTAATATTACATAAATAAATAAATAAGTTGTATTTAAAAAAAATTAATTGATCGGGCTACTTTCAATGAAAGTTATAAGCTCCAACCCAAATCTAAATTACAGACATCTCTTAAACGGGGTCGTAAGACCTAACCTAAATTTAAACTGCAGGCAACTCCTAAACAGGTCGTAAGGCCTAACCCAAATATAAACTACGGGCAACTCCCGAGTGAAGCTGCAAGTCCTAACCCAAACTAGATCAACCTACACCCATCCACTTCAGTTTCTTGGGATCCCTGAAAAGAGGCAATCCATGAATGCTAATCAGATTCTCTAGACACTATAATCAACGTTAGTTAATATTTGTAAAATGAAACCTACGATATACCTAGGACGACAGAACCATGGGATCTTGATCGGGTTTAACTCCATCATCCACAACCAAAATTTGAAATTGTTGCACATCTAAACATCGATTCATCTTTGATCGAGAGTTCTCTTCTGCGCGTTAGGAAGGGTGATTAATTATAAGGGCTTGCGTTCATAGGAATGGAACCATAGAACTAAATAAATCCTGATGCTGATCATCAAAGGAAATCTGGTTACTTTTAAATTCCAATCTACCTCGAGGAAAATGGAACCTAAAGCTTGTGAAAGCGGGGTTCGTGCCGTAGCATCGCCTTTTCCCTATATAGCTCCATTATACTTAGTAAAAACCAAGCATCACACAAAATCATCATGCAAATCAAAGGCGTTCATACATCTATTATCCTCAGCCATTTTTCTTCAGACATTCTAAAATAAGTTAATCGAAATAAACGTATAATAATCATTTTAATAATGGAATGCTCTTCCATTACTATAAATATTTTCACCCACCATAGCTATGAAGAGTGTGACTTAAGTCCATTTTCTTTTGACTTATTAAAAAAGTAGGAATATATTACAGTGTATCTTCAATTTGGATGTATCTTTCTCTCTCTCCATCAATCAAGGCCTCTTCTCCACATTCCAATGTATCTTCCAAGGTTCAGTTCTATGTTTCAAGTCCCATTCCACAAATTAAGGCTTGATTTAAACTTCTTCCATACCTCAAGGTGTCACCTCCATGCAAACTCATGAAAGATGGATGGCTCCTCTTCCAATTAAACTATATATACATTTTTTGTTTCTAGAAATTAGCGTGCAATTCCCTATCTGCGTGAGCTGTTTTGGACGTTCCCTACATACATACGGTGGAATAATCTATCATCTTGGTTTTGATTGCAATTGAAGCCTCTATTTTGTGGTGGACGACATGGTGGCTAGTTCATGGTATAACTTGGAAGGTTTCCAATAAAACTCCAAAAGAGAGGAATAATTTTCTCTTTTGTTCTTACCCTTCTGCATTTAAATCAAAACTTAGATCAATTACAAGCTCTCAGTTTTGGAGACCCATTCTCAAACCCTAGGATTCAATCAGTTAGGTTTTTTCTTCTACAAGAAATTCTAAGCTTCCCTCTTCCCAATAGCCTCCCCCCTCTCCAATACAGCATAAACACAAAGCAAACCTTTTGAGCTCTCAGCCAAGAAAATACACAAATCAATCCCTAGCCAAACCCTATCGTTCTTCTTCCATAAAAACATACAAAATATCTCAATTTTGTTAGCTCCCGACCTCTGGTAAAAGTCCCATTATCCTAAAGTTTATAGCTAACCCACCCCTCCAATATTCATTCCCTTTCACTCGAATAACATCACAAGCAAGAAAAGTTTCATCCACATCAAAACCCCATAAAACAACCACACTTCTATTGCCACCACTTACTCAGCTGCTTCAAAAAATATTAAAAAAAAAAAAAAATGGAAAGCTCGACAGTCAAAAAGGCAAAGCAAGTAGAGAGAATGGCAGTCGAAGACAGAAAAAAATCATAACCTATCGATTCTTCTTCCAACTTCGTAAAAATCCTAAAAATATATAAAGAGTAATTGAGTTTTAAGGATACCTTTCTTGAAGAAACGCAAGGGCCGAATTCGCATCGAACCCCAATTGGGTGAGGTAGGTTTGTACATCCTCAACAAAAGAGGCAGCTGGAATGCCCCTCCTCTCTGCAGGAACGCCGGATGAAGACGAAGTCGAAGAAGAAGCCATGAACGAAGGGAAGAGATGACGGCTCGCTCTATGGTCTCATAAGGTATGCTCCTCCCTCGCCTAATTAACAAAAGCAAGTAACACCTAAAGACTTGAAACCAAACTAACTCCAAAATGAAAATAAAATTCCTAAACTTTACAACAACAACATCAAACCTTTGTCCTATTACGTGGGGTTGGCTTCATGAATCCTTTTCATCATTGTGTCTTGTTAAAAATCAAATTCCCATTTAAATATAATAAAGTAATATCATTTCTAATATTTTCTAACCAAATTTTTTAGGTCTACCTCTACCTTTCTTAACATAAGACAAATCTAAAATCACAATTTTCCTAATCAGGTCATCGGAAGGCCTCCTTTTGGCTGTGACCAACCATCTAAGGCGACTTTCTCTAATCTTATCTTCCACTGGAGCTACTCCAACATTTTTCACGTATATGCTCATTTCGTATCATATCTTTAATGGTAAAACCACTCATCCATCTAAGCATCCTCATCTTTGCAACACTTAGTATTATGCTTCTCTTTTAATGGCCGACATTTGGCACCATAAAGCATTGTAGGTCCCACCACCATCTTATAGAATTTTCCCTTAAGTTTGAGGGTGACTTTTTTATCGCACAACAAACTTGATGCATTCCTTCACTTCAACCATCTAACTTTAATTATATTGACAATATCCCAATCTATTTCACCATCACTCTGAACAATAGATACAATATATCTAAAACGTGTACTCTTGTTAATGACTTCAACGCTCGAAGTCACAATCCCCTCACTAGGTCTATTGCTACTAAAATTGCAATCCATACATTCAGTTTTAAATCTACGCAAGCGAAAACCTTTGGACTCTAAGGTTGACCTCCATAATTTAAAGTTTACCTTCAACTCCCTCTTAGGTCTTATCAACAATAAGAATATAATCAGCAAAAAACATACATCAAGGGTACATCCTCTTGTAAATGTATAGTGAGAACATCCATGTCTAAAGCAAAAATATATGGGCTTAAAGTTGATCCTTAATGTAATCCAACCGAAATAGCAAAATATTTGGTTAAACCACATTGTGTTTGAACACATATAATAGCTCATGTATACATATCTTTAATGATTCGAATATAAGCATTATTAACTCCTTTCTTTTCAAGAACTCTCCATAGCACTTCTCTTAGAACTTTATCATATGTTTTCTCTAAATCAATTAATATAATATGTAGATCCTCCTTATTCTCTTTATATTTCTCAATTAAACCTCTCAATAAATGTATGGCTTCCATAGTAGTCCTACCCGGCATGAATCCAATTTGTTATTGAGAAACATTAGTATCACGCCATAACCTATGCTTCATGACTCGCTCCCATAATTTTAAAGACACATTAACTTAATTCCTCTATAATTCTTACACTCCTGTGCATCACCATTATTCTTAAAAATATGAATTAACACACTCATTCGCTACTCATCCATAATCTTTTAAGTCTTCAAAGCAGCATTAAAAAGTTTAGTAAGCCAAGAAATTCCTTCATCTCCTAAGCATTTTCACATTTCTATTAAAATATTATCAGGTCCAACAGCTTTTCCACACTTCATTTTCTTTAATGCCTTGACAATATGCTTAAATCCTAAAATGTTAATTCACCATTATTGAGGATGAGTAATATCTCTAAAAAATTTAAAAGTAAAACATTTCAAGTTATTGTGAGAAATATATCCTCAATAGGCCAATCATGCATGAATTTCCATACATAGCAAACACAAACTTGTAAACATTAATAAGCAAATTAGTTAATATGCGGCTATATATAGTGCAAATATAAATCAATAAATAAATATTTAAAAAATAACGAATATAGTAGAAATATGTTATGAGAAATAAACTATTAAAAAGTAATAAATATGTCAATGACAATATCAATTGAATGGCTATAAACTTTTTTTACTTGTTCACTAGCACATGTAGTGCTCTTAGCTATTTTCCAAATGGACCACAAATGGGCTTCTTTAATCTCAGCAATTAGTCCATAGCCCTTTTACATGCTTGGGCCTATGTCAACTTTGAAACCTGTGATAAAGGAATATGGCCCAGTTTAAACGAGCCTAGAGAGGATTGTGGGCGGATGGCCCATTCTTACAAAGTTGGAGATGCGACGGGAGAAAGGGAGAGCATTTTGAGCAAACAAAGAAGAGCAGCGGGACCGGCTAAGGACACAAAAATAATTAGATATTCATTCATATAATATTTGTTATAATTAATTAATTAATTCTAATAAAATTTAAATTACTTATTATAATAAATAAATTTGAATAATAATTTATTTATTTATATTTGTGAATATACTCGTATTATTTAACGGGTAGTTTATATTAAAAACGATGATATTTTCTTTAATGACTCATTAAATAATAAGTTTATATTTAAAAGATTAATTATTTAAAAAGATTAAAGGTTAATTAAAATTACTAAGTAAATTTTTTTCTTAGAATATTGAGCGTAGAAATATAAATTTGAGGAAGGCAGTATTACATAAAAAAATATTTATAATAATCTTCAAAACATTTACCAATTAAACTATCTAACACACTTATTTTTTAATTTTGTAATTAAAAGTATATTTTTAACCCTAAGTTTGAAATTAATTATATTTCTTAAAGAAATATGACTATTGTTTATCCAATTAAATATTTAATTTAAAATTTTATATAAATGAAATGAAAAAGTTATTTTAGAATAAAATTTGAACACTATAATTCATTCCAATTTTATTATCATTTCCACTTTGATTATCATATTCAAAAACACAAAAAAATACACACACAAAAGATGTCACCCTTTGATGTGAAGTTGAAAGATATACTAGTGCTTGCCTTTATATGTATAATATACTTTTGCTAATATTGAGAGAGAGAGAGAGAGATAGAGAGAGGGTAGAGAGAGAAAGATGTAGGGGAGAGGGAGGGGGAGAGAGAGAGAGAGAGAGAGAGAGAGAGAGAGAGAGAGAGAGGTAGAGGAATTGCCATGAAGCTAGCATGACAACCACATTTTCTTCAAGATAGAAAAGAAAGCCCTACTAAACCTAATTGCACATGCATCCACATGAAACCTTAGCCCATAGTTTCTTTAATGCTTATTAATTTCAACTCATTGACAATTTTCCCTTTTTTTCATCAAATACACCCTGGATTATTCTCTCCCCATTTCAAAACCATTTCATCTTTCACTTATGCATTAGTGGCTTTGTCTCTTAGCCTGACTCTCCTTCACAGCTCATAAAGAAGTGACACTATGGGTCCCCTCCCCTTCAGAAAAAAAAAAAAAAAAAAAAAAAAAAAAAAAAAAAGCTTCTCTTTGCTGTCATCCACCTTCTCGCTAGCCAAGCCCTTCTGCTTCCCAACATGCATGAAAACTATACAAATATCAGCTTATTAAATATAAATATATATATAATAAGGAAGATTCTTCCCTATTGCATCTCCTTGCATTGCCTGTTGTAGCACGTGGAAGAATTATTGATCTACATGTTGGATAATGGAGGACATCACTATAAGGTTGGCATATGCGCTATAGTTCTTTAATATCATTAAATGATTTATAATGGCCATTTGTATTTAAGTAAATGAAAAAAAAAAAATTTTGCCTTGATTATTTATTTATTTTTTTATTTTTCATCATTTGATCATGTATGTGATAAATGATTAAAATAAAAGAGGTCAGACAAAAAATAACTTTAATTGAGTTGTATTTTATGATTTAAAATATTTTTATTGTTAATTAAAATGATGTATTTTGTTTCGTAATTATCTTTTTATTTCTAATTAAAATGATGCGTTTTATTTTGCTTAATTATCTTATAATAATTAGTTAATTGTTTAATTGAACCTTGTTTAGGATTAGGGTATTAATAAATTAAGAAGGGGATAGGATTAGAGGGCATGAGAAAGAGGAAGAGCCATACCTAATTAAATAGGCTAATAAAAATTTTAATTATTTAATTCCTAATTAAATCTAACTAATTATGGGTATTTATTTAATCATGATTAAATTAAATCAACCATAATTATCCCATTAAGAAACAAATTAATAATTATTATTAAAAAATCCTTAAAAATAAAAATTTTAACTCTTTTATAACTATTCTATGTGGCCATTCTATTTTGTTGAAAAAGAAATGCAATGTAAAATAGAATGTAGTGTACAAGAAATATAATGTATATATTTGAAATGTAATGAGTTGGTTAGATGAGTGAGTAAACTTTAAAATAAAAACATGTGATTATTTTTTTATTTGTATGACTTGAAGTAAAATGAATGTAGTGTAAAGTATAATGATGACAGTGGTTGATGGTTGATGGTGGTGATGGTATCGACAACATTGATAGTGGATGGTAGCTGATGACCAACGATATGTAGCAAGCGATGGCTGTGGGAGGCGACAATAACAAAGAATTTATATTGTATTTGAAAATTGGTCAAATCAAACAATTTTTCAATACAATAAATTTGAACTAGATGATTAATTCTAATTACTTTCAAAATTTTACTCTGCATTTCTATAACTTCATACAAAAAACCCACATTTTCAAATCACACACATTTGAAATAATTTACACCTCTTTTACCTTAAGCAAACAAACCTAGGTCCATCGCTCTGGATTATTTCTATTACCTTTGACATTATGCAACAAATATGATCTCGAAAATTTCTAAATTAATTTAATCAAGATCAATGCTTTATTATTTCAATAATAAGAAACATGAACTTGAAAGTTTGGGAATTATCATAGGAGATAATCATCTATGCTCTCAAGTAGAACAAGTTGTTCCTTTCTTTTTCTTCACTTTCTAGCTATCTTTTACTCGTCTCACTTTTCTTCTCAACTAATAGCTCTACCTTTTATTGTACTTGTTTACCGTCCCAAACGAAGCCATGGTCTATAATAAATACTACTTCCAATCCAAATAAAAGAAATTATTTTTGATTTCCTATACATCACAAAAGCGGTGATGAAATAAGCTTATAGACCGTGGATTAGGCTTCGTCACAAACAACACGGTGAAGCAGCTTCATCTGAACAT